GTCATAATACAATGCCTTCATCTGGGTCCTAATATGTCTTTCGACATATACAAATTTGGAGTTTATATATGTAAAAATATCTAAATTATCAATAGGAGTTTCTGTTTTTGTTTTGAATGTATTTCCTTGCTTTGTTTCAAAAATAAACAATTTTGGATGCTCAGTTCCCATTAGAGTATATCCACAAATAATATGTGGTCTTGTTAAAGTTAGAGCAAATGTAATGTCTTGTGTTGTCAATGTGTAAATTGTAGTGTCTTGTGACTCTATGTTGCCTTGCATTTTCATGGCATTTCCTTCATATAAAACATCATAATGGTTAAATTTGCATGCTGAATTTGGAAGAGGTTGCCAAAAAGTATATCCATCGTCCGAGTCTAAACAAGTTCCTTCTGAGAGAGGACACGTAGTTCCTGATTTTAATATAACCTTTCCTAATTCTAGATGTACCGGTACATAGGCCGTTCGCAATGATATTGTCACTTGTGCCTGGACTACTACATCTTCCCAAGTGCCATAATAATCAGAGTACATAGCGCCTTTGCAGGTACCGTCTACTCCTGCTTTTCCTGCCAGTGTTACGCTTCTATAAATTGTACTGTTTGGTTTTAATTGATCAATAATTTCGTCTGCTCCTAATCGCAACATTCCTTCACGATGCATGCGTAGACATTGTTCGTGCGATGTTCCTTGCAAATAGCTAGCTTGACCATTGTGCACAATAGAGACGTGAGAGTGCATCCCACAGTGATAAACAGTTCTGGATATTTCTATTTTACATTGTATAACTTCGACGTAATTATAATTAGAGAGTTGTAATAGCTGTATATATGTTTGTGTAGTCTTTGGTGTATCTTGTTGGAAGTCGCATCCTCCAGTATGCATAAGTGATATGGTAGTAGTATTTAGATGTGTTCCTCCGCAATCATATGCTAATAACGCAAGTACTGTACTTAAACCTGAAATGATGATGACGAAAACTGATGCCTATAACAAAATAATAAATTCCTATGATGATGTTGCTTGATATACATATACATATATGTATGTATGTGTAATGTATGTGGTGGTTAATAATTAATGTTGTTGCTTAAAGTATAATGATATAGTTAATAAGAATAATGATATAATGAATAAGTATAATGAATAAGTATAATGATATAGTTAATAAGAATCCAGGATTCTGGTTCGCATATTCTAATACAATTTTGTGTGCTTTCTCCTTTTTTATTTATGCTTTCCTTCATCCTGGGTCCTGGTTCCGATTAAAGCGTAATAGCTTTAATTTATCCGTATGAACAATACGAGGTTGACCTTTATACTTTAATTTGACATTCCGTGGTGGAAGTATTTCCAAAACCTCGTGCGGTCCCGTATATTGATCAGCAAATTTGCCTTTGATAGGTTCTTTTAATAAGTATACGAAATCTCCAACATTAAAATTTTGTTCATTGATACGTTGATCATAATACTTTTTACTCTTTTGTTTGGCTTGAATCAAAGTTTCTTTTGCGTTCATCTGCGATGTTCTGAGTGTATTATAAAGATTAGTGAGGTAACGCTGATATGTTATTTCTGTGTCTTCTTCCAGGATTGGGATTGATGAAGGGAGCCGAGGAGTTCTACCAAACACAAGGGAGAAAGGGGTATAATTAGTTCCTTCATGGACAGAAGTATTGTAGCAGAACATGGCAGTAAACAGATGTTCATCCCAACTGTTGTTAATATTAGTATACATTTTTAAGTATTCAGTTAAAACGTGATGGGACCTCTCTATTGATCCGTTTGATTGTGGTCTATAAGCGGTAGTTCTATACTGTTGAATTTTTAGTGATTTGGCTAGATTTTTCATTATAGACGTAAAGAAGTTTGGAGCTTGATCAGTCAGTAAGGCTTTAGGAGCACCGTATATGCAAATGAAGTGTTTCAGAAAATTGTCGGCTATTGTTTGCGAATCAGTTTGTTTAAGTGGTATAGCTATGCCATACTTAGTTAATAGGTCTTGAATTGTTAGTATATATCTATTTCCAAGTGGAGTAACAGGAAGGGGACCCATAATGTCCATTGATACTTTATCAAACGCAGCGCCCGGGGTGTCAGTAATTGTCATCGGTTGTTTAGTTTTGACCCGTGTTAATTTCTTTAACTGGCATTCTTTACAATTTTGAATATATTTTTGAATATCGCTTTTCATCGTGGGCCAATAGAAATTTTGTCTTAATCGGTTATATGTTTTAGTAACGCCTTTGTGCCCTCCTATTTTAGTCGCATGCCTTTCATATATTAATTGTTCCCTTTCGTGTTCTAGGGGATTGCGAACAAGAGATTTGCAGACAGTAAGAGTCATATCGATATCTTGCAGATTAGCTTCTAGTTTGTTAATAACATATGTCCAGGGGATTTCATCAAATAAATCGGTATGTGCTATACTTATGGATTTCAAATCTAATTCCTGTATAACGTCTCTAAGAGATCTGATACAATTTTTTATGTTATCAATCGTCACGTTTTCTCTATCGTTATATTTAAGTGGTAAGGCAATTAATACCCTTGTGCCTTTTTGAGTAACGCATGCTCGTTCATGTGTCAAGTTGTTATATTCGGGTAATTCACCGTTATTTCTATAAGTAAGAGCTCCTTTATCGTATGCTGATCCATCCATTTTAATAAAAATAACATGATTATTTTTGCACGCTAGTAACGTATCTCTAGAAATCACTGTTTTTAAAAGAATTCCCTGTGATGGGAAATTATACGGGACTGGGTCTGTCTGAAATATTTCTTCTTCGTCGCAATCTTCTTCATCGGAAGAAATATCGGTAATTTCTTCACATTGTTCTATAAGTGGATTTGGTAAGGCGTTTGCAGTATCAATGTCCATTAAAGATGTAGGTAAGGATGATTGAGATTGTGGATTATTTCCTGCTTGTCGAGTTGTTGTTTTATGTGCGGAAAAGAATTTATCGGCTTCGGGAATTAAAGGGAAAGTAGGTACATCAGGCGGGTTTCTGGATAAGGCGTCGGCGTTATTGTTAATTTTGCCAGGTTTGTAAGTTATGTTATAATCATACTCGGAAAGTTTGAGACGCCATTTCCAAAGCCGTGAACTGGGATCCTTGATAGAATGCAACCACACTAGGGGCTGATGGTCAGTTACAATGGTAAATTTCCTTCCGTAAAGGTATTGCCTAAAATGGGAGATACAATATACTATGGAAAGACACTCTTTCTCTATAGTTGAATATTTCTTTTCTGCGTCAGTCAATGTCCTTGAAGCGTAAGCAATAGGTAAATCTTTTCCGAGAGCTCCCTGACTTAAAACACCACCGATTGCGTATCCGGACGCATCTGTAGTTAAGATAAATGGTTTTTTGAAATTAGGATATTGTAAAATAGGTTTATTACAGAGGGCATTGCACAAGGTAGTAAATGATTGATTTTGGACTTCTTTCCATAAAAATTCCTTATTCTTCTTCAGCAAGTCCGAGAGTGGCTTAGCTATTTTAGAAAAGTTTGGTATGAACCTCCTGTAGTAACCAGCTAGACCAAGAAATTGCTTGACGTTTTTCTGGTTACGCGGTATTGGGAAGGTCTCTATTGATTTTATTTTGTCTGGATCAGGTTGTACTCCGTCTTTACTAATTACATGCCCAAGATACCGAACTTCATGTCTCAGGAATTGACATTTGTCAGGTTGCAGCTGTAAATTCGCGTCGCGGAGTCTCTTCATTAGTCGATTGATTTTTATTTTATGTTCTTCAAGAGATTCGGCGTAAATCACGATATCATCTAAGTACACAAATAATTCATTCCCTTGCAAGCCCGTTAAAACATTATTCATCAGACGCTGAAATGTAGCAGGCGCGTTTTTCAACCCAAAGGGCATTCTTTTATATTCATAGTGCCCATAAGGTGTAGAAAATGCTGTTTTATGTGCGTCTGCAGTAGCCATTTGAATTTGATGAAAACCTTGGGCTAAATCAAACACGGAAAAGTATTTTGCACTACCAAGTTGATCTAAAATTTCTTCTATATTCGGTAACGGATACGCGTCACCTATGGTTTTTTCGTTTAACGCTCTGTAATCAATTACCATCCTCCAACGTTTTTGTCCCTGAGAATCTGATTTTTTTGGGACGATCCAAAGGGGAGAGTTATAAGGAGATGTAGAATTCTGGATAATATCTTGTGTTAACAAGTTTTCGATCTGCCTATCTATCTCTTGTTTGTGTACAGGAGGATATCGGTATTGTTTAACGTGTACTGGTAATTCGTCAGTTGTCGGAATAGTATGAGTTGTAGCATTAGTATGTCCTAAAAGGTCACCCGGTATATAGAATCGATCAGAGTTTTCCTTTAATATAGCGTTAACATGCTCTTCCTCTTCTTGATTCAAACTATCTGTATTTACCATTTCTTTGATACAGCGGATACGTTCGTCCTCATTAACAGGCTCCGTATAAAAAGTTTCGATATATTTATATTTATCATGATTAATCATGGTATCTTTTCCCTGATTCAGAGAAAAAAAGGGGACAAGAGGCATGGGAGGAATAGTAAATGAGACTTCATTCGACGTAGTATTATAAAATAGTAAATGTCCCTTGCCCTTGAAATTAGTAACTAATGTTTCTCCAGCATATGTGCCCTTAACAGAGTCTAACAATGGTACGTATCCTTCTTGCACTTCAGGATTAGTAATAATAAAAGCAATTGCCTGAACACTTCGTGCTGGGATAGTCACAGCTTCGTTCTTGAAAAATGGGATACTTAGGTTTTCTATTTTCAAAACTTCAGCTTCGTAATCTATTATGGCGTTATATTTTTTCAGAAATTCGGATCCAAGAATTGCGTCTTGCGGAAAAGTTATTTCGTCACTGACTACCTGGAATTTTGCTGTTCGATTTAAAATTTTTAGTTCAGTAGACCCCTTTGTTTCGATAGGTATTTGAGATATTCCACGTAGTGTCAGGGTATCTTGGTTATTTATATCGGGATCTTTCAATGCACTTAATTTTACGATATTCACTGAGGAACCCGTGTCGATCATAAAGTTACAATTTTTTGTTAATTGTTCTGCACTCAAAATTACACTCGGTAATGTGGCAAAAGATTCAATATTCATAATTGTAACGGTTCGAGCTTCCGAATTTATTCCTGTATTGTTATTTTCTTCTCGCGTGACGACTCTAGTTGGGAGGATATTAGTGCGGGGCGCGTAATATTCTGGGCGGTACCCTGGCTCGCGCCCTGGGTGGCCGGGTTGCCCGGGTCGTTTCCCGAGTTTTGTTGCGCATTTTTGTAAGCTAATTTTTTGCATGCCGATATATCATGACCCGGAAATTTACAATATCGACATATACTTGGTGAATTAGGTCCATGCATTCCTGGGATAAGCGGTCTGATAAAAGGACGAGGAGCGTCAAAAGATCTAGTCAGTATTTGTGTCGGGTGATTTATTCTTCCAGGGGCGGATTGAGAGTTGTAAAAATCAGCTCGTAGTGGTCTGCGTTCTACCGGATCACGAGGAATGTGCCTTTTTTCGCGGGCTTTTTCGACTTCTAGGGTATGAGATAATTTTACAGCCCACTCAATAGCTTGATCAATATTGTTAATAGGGCGATGCTCTATTCGCGTTATTAGATCAGATGGTAATCCATTTACAAATGCTTCTAGCACTTCTCTGTCAATTTCATCTATAAAAGCTTTATCTACGCCACCTCTTTCCCTTCGGTAACGATCTAATATTGCGGCTTTTAAATCTTTAATTCGTCCAGCATATTTTAAAACAGTTTCATTCGGAGACTTGTATATATTTGCTAATTCTCCTCGATACTGAGAGACTGTTTTATCAGGGGCTAAGATTGTTTTCAATTTGTCTAGAAGGCCAGTTACAGTATCATAATAATTTCCTTCTACGA